AGGTTTTGCTAATCAAAGGAAAACTTCAGCCCAGCTTCTGCATTAATTATCACGTACTCTAAATTGGTAGAATCTGAATTAATGAGGCCCAGGCTCCTCTTAAATGGCATGCATTAAATAAAAGCTGGACTTGACTATGCATTCTTGTGAAGATTGAAGTATATATGCATATTGGCTGCCAGGCAAATAAATTTTCAAAGTATGCAATTACCAATGCTATGTGGGCCCTGCCCCACTATCCATAAACATCTTAATTACCTTCTACACATCACTAAAAAAGGCTTCTGCAAAGATTCAAACTATTTTTTTGGATCAACCACTTTTGCATATCAAATTTCAGAGTATACAAATGACAGCCTATAAGAAACAGAAAGTTTCCCAAAAAAAATCCCAGATCCCAGCAAAAAGAAAATGAAAAGCAGAGATGTGGTCTATTAAGTAATCTTTTAAGCCCATTGCTAAACTGTCATTGAACTGTAATTAGGCAGTTAGTTCAAGTTTCATTTTTTTTTTTTTTGTGAGGAAGATCGGCCCTGAGCTAACATCTGCCAATCCTCCTCTTTTTGCTGAGGAAGACTGGCCCTGGGCTAACATCCATGTCCATCTTCCTCCATTTTATATGGGACGCCTCCACAGCATGGCCTGACAAGCGGTGCGTCAGTGCGCGCCCGGGATCCAAACCTGCGAACCCTGGGCCACCGAAGCAGAGCGTGAACACTTAACCGCTGCACCACTGGGCCGGCCCCAAGTTTCATTTTTATGGAGTTTTTGATATTTCTAACCAATTTGCTCTTAATGCCATAAGGAGATGGGGGCAAAAAGATACCATATCTACTTTGTTTTGCATTCTTTCATTCCCACTGTTTAATCTTTGGGTTCTTTCCTGATTAAATAACCATGACTACTATTTTAAAATTCAGTTCTATGTATGCCCTTACTTCTTCATCCTTTTGGTTTACTTCCTGACATCTTCAAAATGAGCCAGCCCATCTGGTTACTATTTGCCACGTGGTTCTCCTGTATTTTGCCTGCTCAGAATTCAGCAGCTTTCCACATTTCTCAAAGTCGTCTTCCTTTGCTTGAAGTTATGGCCATTCAGCACCTTAAATATCCTGTTTTTTGCATCTAAGGCCATGCTTAGGGTATGATCGTTATGTTTTTTTTTCATTTCATGTTTTTAGATTAAAGTAAAATCTAAAATATGTATGACATTCGTTTTAACTGTATCATATTCTTATCCAACGTAACATTAGAATAATGTCAGCATGTTAATTACAAGATGTGTTTGTCCAGTACCATTTTTACAATGGCAAAATTACTAAGTTGAAGTGAGTTCTGTTTTTTTTTTGCCTGAGTAAAGCAAAGATGATTTTTTAAAACCTTAACATAGTAAAATAGAAAGCAAAAAAAAACACAGATTCTATGAATGAGTCCATCCTCTAGTGAACTTCCCTTTTAGCACATATCCTTCTTCATTCAGGCAGGGGGCATAAAGCTTCTGCCTTCTCTGTTTTTACACTAGTACTGTGAAATCCTGAATTGAAGTCCACACAAAGGAAAACAATCAGCAAATGGACTAATTCTGATTTTTAAAGTGCTTCTGTTCTTTAATTTGAAAAGAATTTGACTTGCTTGGAAATGCTTCTTGAAAAATAAAAAACTGCTTAAGCCTATGCTACCTTTTGCAGACTTGTACAGTGTGCTATAGATGGATTCAATACATACAACGCAAAAAATAGTAACAATAACAATAGTAATATAATAATAATACCTAATATTTATTAATAACTTACTAAGTGCCAGGCACTAAATGTTTTGAATGTAATTATTTATTTAATCCTTATAATACCCTACGAGGTAGTTACTGTAATTATCCCCATTTACAGGGGAAAAAACCAAGGTACAGTGAGATTAAGCAATTTTCCCAAGTTCACAGTGACTAATGGGCAGAGTTTCGATTTAAACCCAAGCAGTCTGACTCCAGCATTGATAATCTTAACCACTATGCAATCCTGCCTATTAAGAAGCATTAAATGAGAATTGCTACGTTATATATTCAACAATTTAGAGTTTGTTGGGTTTAACTATAGAATCTCACAGAGAGCTCTAGCCCTCTAAAAAACAAACATCAAATATGAGTGGATCATATCAATTTTAGTAACTTTAGTAATTTTTCACATTGAGGTTTTTTGTTTGTTTTTTTGTGAGGAAGATCAGCCCTGAGCTAACATCCATGCCAATCCTCCTCTTTTTGCTGAGAAGACCAGCTCTGAGCTAACATCCCTTGCCAATCCTCCTCCTCTTTTTTCCCTTTTTCTCCCCAAAGCCCCAATAGATAGTTGTATGTCATAGTTGCACATCCCTCTAGTTGCTGTATGTGGGACGTGGCCTCAGCATGGCCGGACAAGCGGTGCCTCAGTGCGCACCCGGGATCCAAACCAGGGCCACCAGTAGAGGAGCTCGCGCACCTAACCACTAAGCCACGGGGCCGGCCCCCTCACATTGAGATTTTAACAAGGACACACCGTACCAATCTGATACAAAAATTGCTGGGTAATAGCAAAACTAGATGTTGTAGCATACTTGGAAATACTGCTTAAATATGCGTCCCTTTAAAAGCTCATTACCAACTAAGCAAAAAAAATATGAAATACTTGACATTTTGGTATCTGTGATATTAAAAAGAACTAATATTTAATATTCAAGTGACAACAGCTTGTAGAGTTTGCACACAACACCCACAGGGATCGATTTTTCTTTAAAATGGTCTTTAGGAGCCTGCCTTTTAAACAGCTGACACCTCCATTCTCTGCATCCCTCTTTCCCACCAGCACCATGGGGCACACACTGAGTGCAGCGGCAGACGTGTAATTCTTCACTGCAGGATTTGTCTATGCAAATAATGGAGAACGTGGGAAATTAAGAAAAATGTAATTTCCACTGAATCAACCTCAGTGTAATCTCTACTACTAAAAACGAATAGATGTCTTTAGAGGGCTTTTCTCCATATGCTTTCTCAGTGCCATTTATATACCATCCATGAGAAGAGAGAAGAATCGTTGTCACCTAATAAGCATCAGTCATTCTATACTTGTACCGAGGCCACGTAATGACAAGTATACTGTTACCTGGCATTTTTCCAGCATTAGTAACTGTCACAGTACTAATTTACTCACCTGTGGAATTTTCAGCTTCCACAGCCTGCTGTCAAGAAGATGCATAATAATGGAATAAAGGTTTTTAAATGCTGAACACTGAAATATTTCACTTATATTCCCATAGAAAGCTTTCACTAAGCCACGTGTTAGGTGTCTATAATTACTCATTGTGAGGTTAAAAAAAACAACTGGTTGCATATACATTTACCTGATAGAATAATGGGAGACGAGTGAACAAATCTTTTCTAACAAAGAAATAAAAAATACTAATCAGATTACCTCAAATGTGTTTCTTTATCTGCATTTATTTAGAGTGAATGCGCCAGTTTAATTACTATTATGTTCTACATTATAATGCAATTCACTTTTTTGTTAGTATTATTTAAGAAAATAATTTTCCGGGGGGCCAGTCCAGTGGCATAGCGGTTAAGTGTGCGTGCACCGCTACGGCAGCCAAAGGTTCGCAGGTTCAGATCCCCGCAGGCACTGACACACCGCTTGTCAAGCCATGCTGTGGCAGCATCCCCTATAAAGTAGAGGAACACGGGCACTGGTGCTGGCCCAGGGCCAGTCTTCCTCAGCAAAAAGAGGAGGGTTGGCAAGGGATGTTAGCTCAGGGCTAATCTTCCTCACAAAAAAAAAGAAAGAAAGAAAATATTTTTCCTCTATCAAATAGTAAGATGAAGAAGTAATTTATTGGATTTTTTTTTTCAAGAAATGTGGAAAAGTTTAAGATGGAGATATAGGAATGTATTACTTCAATGACATAAAATAGTAAACGAATATACAACATCTTTGCCAAGCAGTTTGACCCAAAGATTTTTTAAATGCTAGATAATGTTCTTGAAAAATAATATTTGTCATGGAAAATTATTACCCACAAGTATAATCGTTGACTTATCTGAAGATCCCGCAGTCAATTGCCCTCGCTGTGGTAGATACGTTTGAAATATCTGTGAAAATTACATAGAGACTGATTTTAATATATATGCTTGATTGCTTGTGATACAAGTAAAATTTAGAGATAAAAGCCCAGGATTTCCTAAAGAAATTTGAATAGAATTGCTCATTTAATTCTTATATTTTATTAAATATAAATTCCATGGTTGTTCATTAACCCATCCTATAGTGTTATTAGGTCATAGGAGGGAAAAAAGTTTCCTGGTCAAGTTTGGGAAATACTGGATTAAATGTAGGCTTATCGTCATTGTTACAAAATTTCACTTCAGAAACTTCAATATGCTAAGATGCATTCTGAAGAAAAGGCACAAGGTCTTTTCCAACCTTGTTTGACCCAGACTGTTCTATCTCAGCACATCTCTGAAGCCAAGAGTCTGCAGAACAGTCTCTGTCTTGATTTATACCTACACATCACAGGCACTCAATACACTCTCGAAATTTCACCATCATCCACTTTCTATTGAATTGAAATTGTCTGTGATATTCTTTGCCGCAGACTTGTTCATGAGGATAAATATGCAAATAGAATCAGAAACACAAACTTGTTTCTTCTAACCAGATCTCATCCCACGTACTCAGAGGTAAAAGAGTGGTGAGATAATCCACTCTGGCATGTTGACCTACAGCAATGCTATTACTTAAAATAGGATTCTTAAGTGATAGAAAAGGAGAAAGGAAAACAGCAGCTTCCTACGCTGCACATGCCATCTATTTAGCATATCTGAAAGACCGTTTTCCTCATTTCAAAATTGATAGCCAACTTATTTTTGTTGGTTTGCTATTCAAATTTCTGTCCTCTTTTTCCAGAGCTTATTTGCTCTAACACTGAATTTTAAGCATCTCTAAAAATGCTTGATATGTTATTATTCTTTCCAGATATCCTCTGAGAGCCAAGCGAAGAACATTAAGGAAGAGAAGAGGAATGAGGCTGGATACAGTGCAGTGAAAAGAGGCACTTCAAGGAGAGGGGTACCTGCTACCCAGCGACGGGACTGTGTCATCAGAATGAGAACTTATCGGTACTTCTTGCTGCTCTTTTGGGTTGGTCAGCCGTACCCAACTTTCTCAGCTCCATTATCTAAGAGGACTAGTGGTTTCCCAGCAAAGAAAAGGGCCGTGGAGCTCTCTGGAAACAGCAAAAATGAGCTGAACCGTTCGAAAAGGAGCTGGATGTGGAATCAGTTCTTTCTCTTGGAGGAATATACAGGATCGGATTATCAGTATGTGGGCAAGGTAGGATTCCATTGGGCGCTTTGACATTCTGGTCTTAAAGGCCTGAAGAAGTTACTTCTAATAAATAGACAGGGAGGATGTGAACTATTCCCCCAGTACAGTAAGAATTGTTGCTTATCTGGTAAGACTTGTTTTTTTTCACTTGTGTAGTTTCGGGAAGAAGACTGTAGCAAGAAGCTGAGAAATGTTAACACTGCAACAAAGAGAAATGCTCCAGTTGAAAATGCAACGCCCACAACCATCCGCATAGGATTATCATAAATCCTTTAATTTCTACTTTAGCTTGAAAAATGTGGTCTAGCTCCTCTATAAAGTAGGATGTATTAAAAATAGGAATAGAGCAATTAAGCTGTAAGGAAAGGAAGGTTCCTTTTTCTTGTTGTGAAAGCAAATATTCTGAGCTTTAGTCCTTTGGCCAGGTTCAGATTAACTATTTCTTAACTCTGCTGCCTACAGCCATCCATTCTCTGACCAAATGCAGCTCTTTGTCCTCAAAACCCACCGCTGCCTTAGATTTGGTTATTACTGCTGCTGCTGTTTGCTCTTGTCTCAAATAATCGCCAGGGGTCAAACATTTCAAAAGTTTGTGATTTAATTGTGGCAATGTTCACAAAAGAGAAAAATAGTTATGTAAAAGTTCTATTTCCAAATATCATCTAACCATTTTATTGACTCCGGAAGTAGAATGAGGAGGCATTGCTTATTATAGCCCTTACAGATTCCTGGAGCTGAGTCAGGGAAATAGCTTGGTTATACTGTCTTGTGAGTTCCACTGAAATTTTATCATGGGCTACATTTTTGTTGCAGAATATCTGCATACTGCAAAGATGTAAAAAAACAGGGATACAAGTTTGTATTTTGTAGGTTCTGTGTTTTGCAATATGGTGTTGATAAGAAAAATAATTGTCACACATCCTTTACACAAACTGGGAATGAATCTAAGAGAGATGATAAACTGTCTTCATTTATGATTACAGCTTTGATTTTAAACCATTTATATTAGGATATCATGCAAATAGCATACATTTTGCAGATTCCAAGAGCTGCATGTTCACACTTCAGTCTGTTATCAAATATCCCTGAATAATCATGTGCAAATATTCTCTTTAACTATTTACCACTATAAATGAAAGAAAGCCATCCATGGCTTGGGCTGAGGTCACCAGGCATTGTTCCAATGAAGTGAATTATTAATGTGGAATAAAGTAGGAGAGGAAGTATTCGGTGAAGGAGTGAACATCAACACAGATCCCCAAGGGTCTAGCCTTGTATTTGCTGTGAAATTCACACGCTGTGTGACTGCTGAAGACAGACAGTCCACTTACCTGTACTTCACTCCATTTCCTTTGTGAAATTTGAACAGCACTACATTAATAGGGTAACGGTTGTAAAAAAAAAAAATAGTAATAATCTTATAATCTTTAAAGCACTTTCTACAATACAAATAACATTACCGTCATAGAAGATTAAGTTTTTTAAAGTGCTTTGCTAAATAACTGATTCCCCCCTTTTCCTCTTCTGCTTTTTCTTCTCAAATTTGTGATGCCATTTTACATCAAAAATACCATGTATTTTTAAAGAAAGGTGAGGCTATTTCAGGATACTAGAAGCAGCAATGGATATAACCACACAGGAATCAGTTTACGATTATAATTGTGAGAGGTAATATTGCCATGGGGAAAAGTTTCGAGCTGTGGATTCAAGCAGATCCGAGGCTGCCTCACTGCCCTGCCAATTGCCAGTTGTGTGGCCCAGGGCAGATTATTAACCTTTCCAAGCTTTAGTTTCTTCGTCTAGAAAATGCATGCAGCAATGCCTGCCTCATGGAGTTGCAGTGTAGTTTAAGTGAGACAAGAAGTAGTGACTGGCACATAGTAGGTTCAGAAAGGAGTTATTATTATTGGTGAAAAAGCCATTGTATACACTCTATGAAATCTATCTTTAACGCACTGAAGTGGAATATTGATTTTTATATCATTGCAAAAGTAAAAGGAAGTAATTAACAGATCTTTGAGTAGGTGGAAAATGTAGATAGTGGCAAAATCCCTTCACAATCACAGCTTCAAGTCGATTAATTAGATTTGGATATTTTATCGGCAGCTAGATAAATTTCCCTCCCTCACCATCATCTGCCCTCCCCCACCTCCGTGAAGTTATACATGTAAGAGAATATTCGCTGGAAAAGAGTCAAGGGCAGTATTTGAAGCTGTCATAGTTGCCAGCATTGCTACTTCAGACACGTGTAAGAGGTGTTCTTCACTGTTGATAGGGTATTTTCCCAAATCCGTCTTTGGATTTATGTTTTATCCACAGACAAAACGATGAGACTATAATGTGTTTTTTTAACCACAATTAAAAATAGACAAAAAATAAATTTTTAAAAAGGGAAAAAAAAAGATTCGTTCCTCATGTGGGTGACAAGTTGATCCACTTTTAATAGATATGGAGTAAAACAGATATCTGATGTGATTATCTGGATCCACAAGGTCAAGAAACTTTTGGAAAAAAAAAAAGCTTAGACTATAGCAGAGGTTCCACAACTTTCTTGGTTCACAATGCCCTTAATGTCTCAATAACTCTTTTCACAGTGCCCTTAGGCCAAAAGAAATAGTTAGGTCCAAAAAACTTAATAAGTATTTATGTTTTAACAAATATGTAACTGTTTGAAAAAAATACCCATCAATTAACAGAAAAAAAATAATATTTTTATTTCATTCTTAACCACTGTTACAGTACTTCCTAATGGAATGTGGGCGCCTATTGGGCACTGCACAACTTCTCGGATTGGACACTGCCCCCTTGTTTCCTTTTCCACATTGATTTTTGCACCATACTTGCTTTTTATCACAAGCGCTATAGGAAACCCAGCTTCAAGAACAGGATGTGACATCATCGAAAGGAATGTAGCACCACCTACTGTTGAAACTGTAAACTACCCTGAGCTAGTAATTTGCAAGGTATCTGATAAGAGCTCAAGTGTTGCTGTATTTCCCTTGAAATTTTAAAATATTTCCTGGTGCCGCAGTGAGTTCCTTGCTGCCCTAATGCCTCAGTGCACACTCCGGGAACCATAGGACTGTAGTTAAATTGGTATATACAGATGTACAAAGGCTAATAGAACCTTAAATCATGCTATTAGCCCTACTAAATAATAGTTACTTAGAGCCTATCCTTGAGGCCTGAAACTGAAAAGATTGATTTGTACATATAATGGATAGAAGCGTTAACTGAGGAAAAGTAATGCAGTTGAGCAAATAGCTCTTAAAATAGAGGAAAGTATTTTTTACATAATAAACATCTGTTTGTACTTGTGCTCGTTGGTTCCAATTATTTGGGGTAAGTCAATAGGGAGACAGTGACAATGGTGGAGTGAGGAAAACGTGAGAATGGGTGTGAGAGCAAAGGGCTATCAGGTGTTGAAGGAGAAAAAAGAGTCACATGAGCATCCGAGAAGTAGCAGCAAATGGAGTCTGGAGGCAGGAGTGACAATTAAGTGAATAGACAAGATCATACTGTAAAACTGAAGCCAAGCAATGGCAGCAAGACCTTCCTCCTCTTCCTGTGTTAATGCTCTTCAGCATTTCACTGTGTCCCATAAGATTAATGCAGAAACCTGGACGTAGCAGGCTTAGGGAGGGAAGCACCTAATGCGAATAGAAGTGGGAAAGGCCAATTATAGCTGAAATATTGACAACCCAAATTCTGATTTCTGAGAAAGTCTCAACACCCCTACTCACCTAAAATGGTGGTGGCAGGCCAGAGTAACAGGAAGAAGTAGTCCTGTATTGGGTAAGATTTTGTGAGCTTAAGATATAGATATAGATACAGATAAGGATTATGATTTTTTTCTAAAATACATGACCATCTGGGGACAACATTTAGCTGCTTTAGCATAAGCAGCATCTGTGTCATCTGAGAGCTTGTTAGAAAGGCAGAATCCTGCGTTTCACCTGAGATCTATTGAATTAGAATCTGCATTTCAACAAGATCTCCAAGTGTTACACATTAAAATTTGAGAAGTGCTGCTTTTAAGAATACCTTGAGGGGCCAGCCCCATGGCATAGTGGTTAAGTTCGGCACACTCTGCTTCGCCAGCCTGGATTCATGGGTTCAGATCCTGGGCACAGACCTACACCAGTCATCAGCCATGCTGGGACAGTGACCCACATATAAAATAGAGGAAGATTGGCAACAGATGTTAGCTCAGGGTGAATCTTCCTCAAAAAAAAAAAAAAAAAAAAAAAATACCTTGACCTGGGTCTCACCTCCCCAGAGATTCTGATTTAGTTGATTTTTAATAAAGTATCTATGATTCTAATATGTAGTAAAATTTGAGAACCACTGCCCTAGGAGAATTTTATTGGCAATAATTATAACAAAATGTGGCAAGCTCAGTGATAAAGTGGGCATCCACAAAGAATTATGGAAATCTAAAGGAGAGGGGCCGACTGGGCTCGGGGATGCAGCAGAGCTTCCTAAAGGAGGTGATGATGTTGGAAGCACGTCTTAGAGGAAGAGCAGTGTTAGCTCACACGGCAGAGGGAGAATTACCAGGGCTTCCCAATTAATTGGACACAGAAGCCAAAGGAGAGAAAGCAAAAGGTTCAAAGAGTCAGAGATTTCCAGACAGAACAATGAGCATAATGAAAGTGTCACTAATGCCGGTACAGAAAACAGAAAGAGGTGCATATTTTTTTATCAAGGGCTAAAGGGAAGAGTAATTGATTTTGTACAAAATTCACTTAGCTTATCTTTGGCTTATATAAACCTAATAGAAAAATCAGAGCGAAACCTTGTAATTCCACATTTTCAGAAAATCCCACACCCCTCCTGCCAGGTTTATATAGCACTTCCTTGACGATGATTGGTATATAGTCTAAGATTAATTTCAATAAGAAAAGAAGAACATAGGTAGATAGATATAGATTATAGATTTTGAAAACGTGGGCATTCACTAATACAAAAATGAATATATTTAAAATTTCAGAACTATGCACAAT